TGTGGGGGCACGGCGAAATCACAGAATATTTGGGTGGCAACATGGTTTATTAAGGTTGGGGTCAGGGTAAGGGAAGTAGTTATTATGGCTAAGGTTAGGGTTAGGATAAGTCTGCAGGTAATGAATGTAAGTGAATGTAAAATCCTCACAATGAATGCAAACAAAGCTGTGTGTGTGTTGCGTGGGTGGTCAGTAATATCAGTAGTAGTGTGAATTCAGTATCCCATATTGTAGCTGTATTGTCCTGAATCCAACTAATTAATGTCAGGTCACATCCATAGGGACTTAATGCGGAGACTAAATACAGTTGTTATAATATAAAGTCTAAATAAAAATCCCCACACGCAGTTTCGTGCCAGCGAACGTTGCGTGCAACATAAAAGGACATTATTTCAACTTTTTTTAAAATAGTGAGGTGACAGATTTTTTTGGAGGACCCCACCCATATGTGGAAACGCCTCCGTGTAGACTACAGTGTGAGGGCAGGAGCGCCACCCAGTGGTCAAAGTAGCGACAGCGCGATCTTGTTCTTGAAATAAGAAGAATTATATTCGGATCTTCGTTTCTGTTGTGTTTATGTCAACCTATACTGATAAAATTTATACAGTAAAAAAAAAATACACGAACCAAGCTGTGATACATCAGGCTGAATGTACACATCATGTGAGTTAATAATAATTTGACTTTCTAAAAAAATGATATTTAATAAAAACGGATGGGCCACATTTTATTGATTAACAACACAATAGTTTAAAGTGTATAGGCTAGATATATTTTTTTTATTCTTTTAAAAACCCGCACCTTTGAAAATGCTGTTTACACATGTTCTCGGCTTCACAGACCAGATCAGTGAAACACTATGAGGAGCATTTGAACACAACGTTTCCACGTCACATCCCGGAAACAGCGTCACCACGGCGATACGTCACACGAGCCAACAGATGGCGCAAGTACCGTACTTACAGTTTGGAGGTAGTACCTGTAGTTCTAGTTAATTTGACTATTTTATTTTCTGCTACCATATACTTCTACTCCAGTACAATTCTAAGGCAAATATTGTAGTTTTTACTTCACCGTATTTACTGATAAATTTAGTTACTGTGGAAAAATGACTTTGTTAAATGTTTTGTTTTTGTCTTTGTGATTTGTCTTGTGATAGCTGTTACTTAAAAATTTTACTGTACATCCTGTGATGTGCATGTGACAAATACAAGTCTCTTAATACTTAAAAAAAAATTAAACTAGACCGAATGAAGATAAAATATTGTGAAACAAAATACTGAGAATAAACTGTTTAAAAACAAATACCAAGTAAAATCAGAGTAGATTTTACCAGTATGCGTGTACTTTAAGAAGAGATTAAAGTGATACTGGATAACAGTGCCTGATAATACACTGTAGAAATATAGTGCACATTTATTTATTCATATTCCCTTTAGCTGCCAAAGGTGCATCAGTTACCGAGTCCCCAGCACTCACTGCTGCCCAAAACACCACCTTTGTTATAGTAACTTTGCGTAAATGACACGTCTGGAAAACACATTTTTTCTTAATTAACTCTGCTCGTTGCAGTATCTTAATACTGTATATTATTCCAGTAAACTGCAATAGTGACTCTCGTCCTCTGGATTGTGTGTGTGTGTGTGTGTGTGTGTGAAGGCCGTCTGTGACCACGCATAAGGATTGACTGACTGGCTCTATTTATGGCTGTCTGGCCATGACACGCACACTCACGCATACTCCATGCCTGCGGGTGAATTCCATCTCCCTTTTCGTGTCCTGTGCCCAAAACACCCCTTCCATCTGCACACACTCAGTCTCTGTCTCTCTCCCTCTCTCTCTCATCCGGCGCAAGAGCCCGGCAGCGCGGGTGACGCGTTTTGCGCATTTCCTGCAGCTCGCGCTCACTCACGGATTCAAGAGAGAGGGGACGGGAAACTGGGGGCGCGCAAGGACCGAAATCTGAGAAAACGAACGGCAGCTGAGCACCGTCATGTATTTGTGGTTCTGGTGAGCTCATAAAAGACTGCACTGAGGACGCAAACCAAGGCACTGCTTTCCGACAGAACGCGCAAATATCGCGGTACCGTCAGGTCGAAGCAAGGAGATTATCCCAGAAAAGAGTGAGCGAGCCGCTGGAAACAGAGCACCAATCCCGGATGGCTAGGCGCGGCTGCTCGCGCTCTCTCCCACCCTGACCTGGGAGAGACACACAAGGACCGTGGGGAGGCTCCGAAGCTTCACGTGAACCCACCCGGAGCCGTGTAACCTGCACTCCCTCCCTGGGTGTTTATATCCCGGCTTGTTTCCGTCGAAACGGGAATCTTGTCTGGCGCACAGGACCGACCATAAACAAACCAGGCTCGGGTGGGAGAGTGTTCAGCAGACGACCTCTGCAGGGTGTGAGTCTGCGTTATTGCTGCGTGTTTCATCCCATTAAAGACCCATCAGCTGTGCAGTTAGTGAGTGTGCGCGCGTATGTGTGGAAAACACATTGTCCTGATATGGCTGTACTAGACTGAGAGTCCAAGGAGTCATCGGCATTATGGGATATAGCAGGACTGTGCAGTGACCCCTCTCACTGGGAGGAAACACTCTGTGTACAGGAGCAGGAACAGGCAGACTAGTCTAAACACACACACATCCTCATCCTTTTTGACACACACACATTCTAGGAGCCTGCAGCCATGCCTGTGTTCAGTGGCCTGTTGAAGGTGCGAGTGTGTGAGGCAGTGGACCTGAAGCCCACCCCATGGGCCCTGCGTCATGCTGTAGGTAAGAGCGGCTCTTTCCTTCTGGATCCCTACCTGGCCCTGAACCTGGACCAGACCCGGCTGGGCCAGACTGCCACAAGGACCAAGACCAACAGCCCTGCCTGGCACCAGGAGTTCTGCACTGAGGTCCGTGAGGGAAGGAGCCTGGAGCTATCTGTTTTCCATGATGCGCCCATCGGATATGATGACTTTGTGGCCAACTGCACCATCCAGCTGGAGGACCTGCTGCAGAACGGAACCAGACACTATGAAGACTGGGTATGTGTTTCATGTGTAACTGTGTCTTTGGTCCTGAAAGCCACAGGTTGGCATGTTGATCCAATGCCTTTGCTAGTTCAATCACATTCTGTGCCCATGCAGATGAAATGAAATTTGACAACATACCCCAGGTGCAGAGGCAAACAGGGGTCCCATTTTCTCATGTGTTCACAGTCTGAGACAAACCTACTGTTACATTGTTTGCATAGTGCATTTGAGTGCATTTGAGTGCATGGTGTATGATGTGCTTGTTGTTCCTTGAAAGAATCAGTCACAAAATGCAACGTACAGTGGAGTGGGCCCATAGTTTGCTGTTGCCACAGAATACACACATTTTGTTGCGTGTTCATCCAAAACCATTAAGGCCACGTTCACACTGAGTATCAAAGGTGTGAAAAAACACAGCCCTCTCCATTCATCTCTATGGGGGTTTGCGTTCACCTTCAGCCGGCACCAGCACCACAGGGGACTCCAGCAAAATGATGCACCCTATGCGGTGAAAAAGTTGGATCTAGTTTAACTTTCACCGCACCACATGATGACATTGTCCAGCAAAGGTGCTGCATTGACCAATCACGTACAGGGGATGATCAGGACCTGGACGCCTATTGGAAGAAGACTCTTTTGTTTACCTTCTCAGCACGAGCATTCACTGCTATTGACTGCCAAAGTTGGGCCACAATGAAGGCACCATAACAACGCTTCGTGCATTTTCATTAGTACTGGATGTTAAATGGTGTTTTTTATTTCTCAATGCTGACACTGGTGGTAGAATCGGTGATAAGGTAGAGTAGGCTACGTTAGCAGCATGGCTAACTAACACACAACGGAAACTCATGAGTAGGAAACGTGAATGAACACCACCCCCACCCCCCCAACCAATGCAGTCCCCTGCATAAAAACACAGCAGGGAGCCGCATTTTACCTGACTCAAGCTTGAACGCCTGCTTATTCATCCAGGAAGAAGACTAACATGCTCATCTGCTGCTTCACAAAATTCATACATTTACACACATCCCTGCATAAGAACTTCACAGCGGGGGCTCAGCGTTCTGATGCTTCGGCTCAGGGTATCTACTGATACTGAGCACAGAACCGATACCATTGGTCTCATTTTCCCACATTTAAAATCTATGCAGCAGCTACTGTGAATTTTATAAGGTGTGAAGAAACTACTGAAGTCCTTTCTGGCCGATGCCCAGTCCATCAAATAACATCAGAATCAGGGCTGATACCAGTCTGGCAACGAAGATCAGTGCATCCCTTTGAACAGGCATCTCTGCGGTTGTATTTATAGCATTTCTAAATATCCTGGGCCTTTAGTCACAAGCATGCTCACCTTACCTTTATTGTAAAATATTATTTTCTTTACATTTAGAAGATGTCCCTTTAGCCATTATCATCATCATCACTACCTTCTTCTTTCCCTGTCTTTGGCAAAACAGCAGTGTGCTAGTTAACTGTGATTTCAGCTGCACTGGTCTTCAAACTGCATGCATCTTGGTGCTGGTTGTCTACCCAGGACTGGGTTTGTCCTATGACATGGTTATGTAGTCCTCTGTCACTTTACTTAGTTTAATCCTGCAGCTTCTCCTGCTTTCTCTATGATGTGGGAGCTGTTTGGACTTGCGTTAGATCTGATTCAGGTTCATTCTTTAGTCATTCTTCCTCAGTTCCTTATATTCCTCGTGCATCTTCCTCTGGAAGAAATAGGAGGTTGCCTTGTATTTACTCCAGTAGAATTACAGTTATTAAGCAGATACAACAGCTTAGATGCTGTGAAAATTCACTGCAAGCTGATCAGCATTTCCAACCAGTTTCCAGCATAGCAGTGACAATGAGTGAAGCTCCTTTGATTTGTTATGGGTTTTCATCATGTAATCTCATTTGTGTTGGGACTGTTAAGTTGATAGGCCGCATGTAGATCTGTAAGTAAAGAGCTGTTTGTTTTGGATCTGCAAGTGTGGTCTCCACATTTTGACATGTGATCTTGTTCACTTCCCCACTTTATTATGCCTCACCGGCGATACCAGTGGTCAGAGGAAATGTGTTTTTGGGTTGTCTGTTTGTCCGTCTGAATCGTTCTTGTGATTCCTGTATCTCAAGAACACCTTGAGGGAATTTCTTCAGATTTGTCACAAATGTCCACTTTGACTCAAGGATGATTTTTGCAAGGTCACTGTGACCTTTGCGCCTGTCCCATTCCTGTCAATTTGACTGGCTGGCGGAAACATAGAACTGCAAAGTGGTAATTCAGGTTTTGACCTTTTCTGGCTTTACATTAGATGAATGGCTGATGAAGGTGATCTCAGGACCTGCATTTTAAACAACCATATGTGTTGTTTTGCACTTACAGTAGCCCGTCTCCTCTATGAATTGCATATACATTACTGCTAAACATTTTCCAAAGCATATGATCAGTTATTACAATAATTTTCTATCATCTATGTGGCCATCAAATATTAAATATTAATTTTGTCAAAATGGCATTTTTGTTGCACAGTAATATCATTTTAAGACTCTTTAACACAGACCCTGCTTTCACATATGACCATGATGTAATATAAAAATTATAGCAACAAAATATTCACTGTTGTGAATTAATCTCTGTATATACACATGATGTAAAAGTCTAATATGGTTTAATAAGCTAATGCATGCTAGTTGGGGTTGGGGTTGCATTCTCCACCCCCTTACCTTAACCTTCTCAACTGAATGTCTAACACCAACCCTTACTCTAATTGTGATCTAAACCTGATTCTAATCTGAACCCTAAAACCAGGTATAAACCCTTAAACAGCCCTTTGAGGGCACGAGGGCCAGCCGAAATGTCCCCACACTGCTCACAATGACAGTTTGGACTCAAATCTGTCCCACACTCCTCATCCCTCAGCCATGCAGGGTAAGGTCAGAGCATATAGATTAGTCTGTTGATTGACCACGTTGCATTGTTCGGCTGGCTGGCTCATCAGTACATCTGCCTCAGAGCAACATACTTGGCTCTTGGGATTGTCTGTCACTGTTAGCATTCTAACACATTAAGCTACGATGGTGAGCATAGTCAACACCTGTGAGCATGTTTGCATCCTGATGTTTAGATCATTTAGTTCAATATAGCCTGACAGAGCCACTAGTTTACAAAGTACTTCTTGAAAAAATACTTAACTTATGAAGTCATGTCGAATCAAAACTCCAGAAAACTCTTTAATGGGAGACAACATGGGAAAATAGTCACACTATATAGGCCTCCTGTGGGCTGCATGACAGTAGCTACATCAGTGACATAAATTAAAATGTACAATAACAAAAATCAACCAGTCCAACCAAATGGTACACCTCCTGCTGCTCAGACGAACACTGAGACTTGTGTACCTCAGCTCAGTCTTTCTCACTTCCTCCGCCCTTCTGCTGCCTCTCTCATCTCATCATCTCTTTCTGTATCTTACTTCCCATCCTCTCTGCATCCTGCTGTTCTCTTTGTCTGCACGATCCATCTCCTGTGGACCCGAGCACTGTGGGCCACGTTCCCGCTTTGTGTCGCCAGTGAAATATTAACCAGGTTTTGATGCTTATTAATTGTCCCACTCAGTATTGAGGTGCTCTGTGGAGCCCATCCCCATGGTGACAATGACAGCCCGTCCCCTTGGTGACTGTCTCACCCACAGAAACACCACAGAGGTGAGAGTTGGAGGAGATGGAATGAGGGAGGGGGGTGAGAAGAGAGAAAACAGTGTGCCTTGATGGTTCCTTAAAAACACAGAATAATTTAAATTCTAATCATTCAAAGGTAGAGAAACCTCAAAGGTTTCTTTGTACTGCATCTCACTCTTTAAGCTGAATTCCCTTTATTTATCAGCATTATTTTAGAAACTGTATTTGAAGGTACATTATACAGATGGAAAAACCCTGAATAATTGTGCGGTCTCTTTCAGGATGACAATGCCCCCATCCGTAGGGCACCGGGAGTCACCAAGGCCCTGCGTAGGCTTGGTTTTAAAATGCATCTTGGTGATCTGAACTCAAGTGAACAGCCGTTCACATAACCGTTCACATCTTTCTATAAGCATGTGTCTCCAAGGTGTCAAGCAGACCACTTGTGTTCAGATTTTGTTACTGCTACTAAATGGTAAGGTAAGGTGAGGTAAGGTAAGGTAAGACTTTATTGATTCCACAATGGGGAAATTCCAGTGTTCAAGCAATGGAATTTAAGAACAAATAATAAGAACAAACACCACACACCTACTGTATCTTGAGAAACAAATTCCAAAGTACCTAAAACCAAACAGAATATAGTATTTGAGAGACAATCAAGAACAAAAATGATCCTCCCACAAGAAATCCCTGAGAGCAAATCAAGATACCTAAGAACAAGACAAGATATAGTATTCAAGAGATCATGAAATCAAGGACAAGAATATTACTAAAAGATGAACAGACTATGTACACAGTTATTACATCGGTCTGTAGCAAGACATGTGCCCATAGTCTCCCAAACAGACGAAAAAGATGAAAGGAAATCTGCAGATGATACAAAATGAATAAGAATAGTGATAATGATCATTGTGGCAGATGGCATTAGGTTCATTTTGTTGCTGCCTGTGGCTCTTGAAACATTTCAGAACTGATGAGTATTAAACTTTTACAGTAAAGAGGACTGTGTCTAAAGACTGGAGAAAAGAAAAATAGTGATAGATTAGAGTGAGAGCAGGAGATGAGGTGTAGGAGTGAGCTCTGTGTACGTGTACATGTATGAGGCTGGAGGTGGAGAGCTGTGAGGCTGCCTGAAGCTGCTAGGACTCTGTCTGAGACACGACCTCGCAGTGTAAAGTTTCCTCGCAGGGACACGGACCACATCAGATGTCAGCCAGCCACTGTTTGACACTTGGCATAAACACTTACACACTCACTCCCACTTAGAGCAGCCAAGATTAATGACTGAAGAACTACAGTACAATTAGAGGCCAGTCACCATGTTTTAAAAAATGTTTTTAAAATTTACA